GAACAATTGATTCGAGTAATAGGGCATCTTATGTGAAAACTCGACTCGAATTGCTGCCTAATTAATAACTCAAGCGTCGTCCTAATTTCTAAATCTGATTCGAATGTTTATCTACTCTAAAAACTAAGTCTAAAGATTTAAACTATGAAATAATGAATTATTTAAACAATCTAATTAAAATTAAAAAAACATAAAAAAATAAAGATAAATTAAGCATCCACAGGGACAAAATCACATAAATATTAAATTACCATGCAAAAAAATAAAAATAAAATAAATACATTAAACATATAATAGGGGGCTAAACTAAACAGATTAAAATGTTAATAGCTAAATCTAAACAAAGTAAAAAAACATATTAGGGACTAATATGTAAAAATACGTGAAAACTATAGGGACCTAAGGATAATTATACACTTTATTTAAGCCTAAAATTAATATGTTAAACTAAAAAGGGAAAAATACAAAATTAGTCCACATGCATTTAAAAAAATTAAAAGGTCAATACGCTGACTGAAGTGTAAAAACACACTAAAAGTAGGGGGACTGAATAGTAATTATACCAAAAATTACAAAGCACAAACATAAATGGGTAAATTAATGAAATGGTCTCTGCCAGTGGCTACTTTGCAAAAACGCACGTAAATTTAGGGGAAGAAAACACAATTTTCCCCCGAAAGTGTTTTATAAAAGCTAACTTTTTCATTTTTTTATTTTATTTTTCCTTTTTTAAAATTTTTTTAGAGAGAGAAGCTCGCGCCGCCGGTCGCCGCTCCGCTGTCCGGGCCGTAACAAACCGCCATTGCCGCCGATGGCCGTTGGCCACCAAAAGTTACCAGGAGACTCGTCTCGAGCTCCTCGTTATAGATCTGGACTCGGCTTCGCACGAAACGATCTCCATCACCATGAAAATGGCCGAGACCCTTCGACTTTCCTAGGCTCGGGTGACTCCTCCGACAACCTAGGTAACACTAGATATATTATTGCTTTTTTTAGCCTTTTTTTACTATAAAAATGGTTAGTTGTTAATATATATATATTACAGGTTATACATCTTTTTCAAACGAAACTAGTTTTTTTTCAAACTATATGAAAGCCCCCTTTTACCAAATGAAACTAGTTCTTTTTTTTCAAATTACAAGAAAGCCCCCCTTTTTCCATGATTCAAACTAAAAGCAGCAAAGAAAAAACAAAATAAAAAAACAAGGAAGGTATTCGAAATCAGAGGAAAAAAATAAAGTAAATAACCTTTGAAGGTTTCTTGTTATTGTTTCGAAAAGAAGATGTTACATTGTTTTTTCTTGACTGACCAACCCCCTTTACAGTATTATGTTTGGGGTTTTATACCCGTTTACAGAGAAAATAAAAAATCATCACTTTTGTTTTCTTCTTTGTTGCTTTCTGTAGGTGGCAGAGTGTTGGTGATGGTGGCGTGCTAGAGTGACTCTCCTTTGGTTGGGGCAGAGGGAGGTGGCCTCTGGTTGGGGGGAGGGCGGCTACCTAGGGCTAGGTTTAGATCCAGGTCGGGTCTAATTCGGGTCTGAATTGGGGATGTTCGGGTTTGGACTTGGGGCTTGAGGCCCGATTTTTTTTTGTTTTATTTTGTAATGGGTTTAGGTTTTAATTGGTGGGGTTTGGTTTAAGGCCCGGTTGTAAATTGTAAAGGGTTTAGGTATTATTTTTTTTATGTTTGTAAATAATATTTATAATATAATAATGATAATAGTAATAATATAGGGGTAAATTCGAAAAATGATGATTACATAATCCTTGCCATAATTTGAAGAATCACTAAATAAATTGATCGAGATCTATAGAGTCACTCGGATCTATAGACATATTAATACACGTCCAATAAAAATTAGATTGCATTAGGTGTAAGTTACTGAATCAATAACAATATAAATTCTTAGGTAGCGTATGTAATTAATTAATAGCATACAATATCATACAATACATAACATGTCTCAATTTAGTCTTAGAATCGACTAAACTCAAACTCTAATATTACTAAATGTAACATTATTAACCAGATCTAATTGAGAATCAGATCAACGATGTTACGTGACTAATCAGAATCAAAATGATAATTTTTTAAAAACTTAATTTGATTATCATATAAACAATAGATTCAATCATGATTTAGGCGACTAACATGCAAGTATTTAATCAGTTGAAGCCGTTACTAACATTTACATGCAATTTATTAACATAAAGGGTAAATTATAAACATCACAAAGATTAGGTATTAATTGCATAACTAAATCATTTTATACAGTTGGTATCGAAATTATTCATAGGGTGCCGATAGTGTATTAATACAATATTAATACTTCTTAATTTAATAGGAACTTTGAACCTCAATACCATGATTTGGTATAGATGCATATAGCTTGAGTTGAAACATTAAACCATTATTTATACTGGTACTACTCAAGAAGCATCAATACTCATTATTAAAGAATACATTAAAGCTAATAGTATCGATATTGTTATCAATACTTGATATTGTATAGGAACAATATCAATACTCGATAGTGGTATTGATACTCATTTAGTGTTTATAAACTTTTATCTCCCTAATGAGTTTCGATATTACATAAATGGTACTAATACTCTACACACATTATCGATACTAAATTAACATTCAAAATTTAGCCTAGATATCAATACTTGCACTACAACAAAAGTGTTATGTAGCGGCGTTTGGAGAGTAAATGCCACAAAATTTAAATATATAGTGGCGTTTATAATCCAAACGCCACAAAAAGATACTTTAGCGGCATTTTTCCAACAAACATCATAATAGAGTGGTAATATAGCGACGTTTATAGTATAAATACCGAGATAGGGTTGTTTATAGGGGCATTTTTCTAAAAAAATGTCGAATAGAGTAGTAATTTAGCGGTATTTATAGCACAAATGTCGGAATAGGGTTGTTTATAGTGGCATGTTCTAATAAACGTCACAATAGTGTTGTTTATAGTGGCGTTTTTCCAACAAATGTCGTGATATAGTAGTAATTTAGCGGTGTTTTTAGGAAAAATATCGTAATAGGGTTGTTTATAGTGGCATTTTTAGACAAACTCCACAATAGGGTTCATCAATAGTGGTATTTGTTATAAAAACGCCGCAAAACATGTACTATAATGGCATTTTTTAAAAAATGCCTCCAAAGGTTAAATATATGCTTCACCCATTTCACCTGCCTGATCCCTAAAATCATTTCAACTATGCTTCCCTAAAAGGGATTTATCTGGTACAACAACGACCCTCACACGATTCCAAGTGATGTCGTCTTCTGTATGTCCCAGCGACCAAATCGGCCCTCTCACCGGCGAACTATAACACAATTGCAAGGTTTGATCCCTTCTCTCACAACTGAAATTTTTTATTTATTTTTTGTTGGTATTCTGAAAATGGGGAAAACACAGAAATCTAACGTATTTGAGAAAAATAATAGCTTTCGAATAGGAAATTAAATAATATCTACACATAGTGTTTTACTGGTTTAGTGCTTTGGAGTAGTATTTTTCTGCTTTCCAATAGGAAAATAATAGCTTTCGAATAGGAAAATAATAGCTTTTGAAAACGTGAACAAATGGTTGTGGTACAAAAAGCAGGTGTTGCCTTGAGTAAGAGAAATTATCGTCGGAATGTCCACGTGGCGTATTTGCTTTGACGATGGATCAAATTATCGTTGGGAGACTATCGGTCCGTACTTGCTGTCGAAACTCGATGATGACCCGAAAGGAGCTCCTATTGATCTATACCCTTCCATGGTCGATCTCCTACTTGAAGGTAATAATCGCTGAAAGTTTCTGTCGCTATATTTTTATTTTGTACTCTAAAATTTCATAGATCGTACGCATGTAGGATGTTCAAAGCTTATTGAGAACGATGATAGAGGAGTGGATAAATACCCGATGTTTAGAACAAAATTTGGTAACTCTGTGGCGTTAAAAGAATCTTCAATTGCAAAAGCATTATCTATCCTCAATGAAGATGACGTTGCCTCTACTGTTACTCCAAGTAAACGTTTCTATCATCAATTTAAATTTTTTTAATGTTTGATTCATTTCCCAAGCCACCTGCAATCAAGTTTCATACTGTAGGTGGAAGGTCGTTATCTGTTTCAAGTGAAGCACTGAAGCGCACAAGGAGTCTTCTTGGTGAACCGGAGGTAGGGGACTTATTTGGTGAAATGGATGAAGAGTTTCTCCATATAGCGTTTACACGGAGGAAAAACTTAACGATGCGTCGTCAAACAAGGATAACTGTTTTTTTACGTCCTTTCCCCACGAAGGAGCAATGAAGACTAAATTCTAGTGAACAATATGGTGAAGACTGTTTATGCATAACTTTAATGTTTCTAAATTTTAATGTATTTTGTTGTTAAGTATTTTTATGCATAACTTCTGTCTTAATTAAAATGTATGGTTGTTGTTAATTAGATAAAACTACATGATAGTAAATTTAGTTTATGTAGAGCAAAAATGAAATATTTAAAATCAATTAATAAATAAAGGTAATTAGTGGCGTTTGTATCCAAAAACGCCGCAATAGATTCATCCATAGTGGCGTTTTTCCAACAAACGCTGTAATATGGTTTAAATATAGTGGCGTTTTTTCAAGAAACACCGCAACTGAGATTTATTTTGCGGCATTTTTATACAAACACCATAATAGGGTTTATCAATTGTGGCAATTTACAAAAAAACCATAATAGAGTAATATTTTAACGGCTTTTTTAACAAACGACACAAAAGGTTAATCTATAGTAGCGCTTTTCTCCACAAACGCCGTAATATGTTTCATATATAGTGGTGTTTGTGTAGAAATGCTACTGAAGAATAAATACTTTTGTGGTGTTTTTATGTAAACATCGTGATAGTTCTGTAATTTAGTGGAACGCCGCAATATTAATAGCGTTTGGTTTAAAACGCCACAAAGTTTTATAAAACCCCAAATTTCTTCATCCCCCCGAGCCTACGCTCAGTATCATCTTCAGTAAATTGGGCTTGAAATTGAATCTATTGCCACCGTCCGTTCCTTGCGTCTTCAGTATCATCTTCAGTAAATCGCACCTTCAGTCGTCAGCATTCACTCCGTCGGTTCCTTGCGTCGCGCCTTCAGTCGCCACCATTCACTCCTTCGGTTCCTTGCGTCGCGCCTTCAGTCACCACCATTCACTCCGTCGGTTCCTTGCGTCGGTTCCTTGTATTAAATTGCATCATTCATCTTTTGGCTGTGCTCAGGTTGATTCTCAAGGTAAGCTTGAACCAGAAGTTGAAGATCTACTTCTGGAGATTGCTGATGACTTCATAGACTCTGTAAGGCTCTACTTTAAGGGCTTACCTTGTTGATATTTGCCTTTCTGTTTTTGGAGTTATGGAAATGTGCATTTATTACTCAGTTTGTGGTGGAAATTAACCTCAAATCGTAGTATAAATAATGTCATAGGCTTAACTGTTATAAATATAGACATGGCTAGCTTTGGGGTTTTTTGGTCAGATGTAGCCTGAATACAGCAAAATACTTTTTAAGAAATCCATGAAATTCTTCCTGCAATATTTTGTGCTTAGCCTGAAGAGAAATCAAATATTTGGGCTGACAGTGGATGGTTTAGAAGACATTGGGTTTACTTAAGTTATTTGATTTTTATGACTACATTGGGATGGTGAAAAATTGTTTTAATTGGTAATTTTTGTAATAAAAGTTTAGTTTTTCTGTCAGTTAATGCCAACTAGCCACTTGCTTGCAGTCACAGCTATACAACTAAACTGTCCATATGTACTGTTGTCTTTTTTTTCATTCATTTTTTTCAATCTTTCTTCTTATTCTTCTCTGTGTCCTCCTCTTTGGTACATTAATCAGCTGTTGAGCAATAATCTTATTTGTTTAAAACTTACACCATTTTACTCATTTTCAGGTGACAACACTTGCACACAGTTTGGCAAAGCATAGGAAATCGTCAACATTAGAGTCCAAGGATCTCTTGCTACACTTAGGTTTGTGCTTCACTATTTTTCATTTCTTTTGAATAGTTTTGTTGATGTGATGGTCATGGTACAATATATATTTGGATAGTTCTCTTATTTTTTATCACATGGGGTAAAATTCTAGAATATTTAGGTTTTCTATGATTTGAAGTTTGCCGTAATGGAATCCGTGTTCTCTGATTTCTCTCCTTTACATAATTGTGCAAAGTTACTTCATGCTTTCATATTAATAACTATATGCGAGTTTAAGCTTACATTCGCAACTTTATACATCATGTTGCTGGTGGTCAGTAGAATTTCAAAAACTTATTGTAATCCATGCTTAATATTTCCTTCCAGGAGCTGCTTCTGATTCACTCTTATATCATGTACATTTTGATAAAGTATGTTTTACTTCAGTATTGCAAAAAAATTTAGATGTTGAGTCTGCATAAGATAACATATTATAGTTTCTTCATCCTCTGAGTGAAGCCAATGGAGCTATAATGAAAGTTGAACATGGGTTATTTGCAGAGAAAAACTGGAAATTGACTGTTACAGGATTTTCAAGTGAAGAGCGGAATCAAAGAAGCCCGGTAAGCATTTCTGTTTGTTGTTTACTAGATGTCAGTGCTCAAAATGTCTAAGAATTTTGACTTCAATGTATGTGAATTCCAATTTCCTTTTAGGGTTAGGAACTCATCGTTTAAAACCCATCTTTGGTAGTCAAAATTTACTTTCTCTATATTTATCTTCCACATTCTACTTTGCCTGATAGCTTGAAACCGTCTGAGCTATCCTCTCTAGCATTTGTGCTGATGTTATTTCCTTTTGCTTTATATGAAAATATTTGATTATTTGCAAAACAAGAAAGATTACAATCGATGACGATGTATCTTGTTTTCAAAATATGCAGTTTTCCAAACTTATTAAGCCTCGCCATTTGCTTTACATTTACTTTATAGCTAATGGACGAGATATAGTTGGCTGTCAATATGTTCTTGTCTCCATCTCCTATTGGATTCTTTGTTAAACTTGTTTAGCTGCTTAGTTTACTTGATTCATTTCTCCATCTCTGTAGTTCCTCTCATGTCAATGAATCTCCATCTCTGTAGTAACTAACCTGGCACTTTTGATAAATCATACTTTTTTGAACGATTGAGTAGTCGCATATATATATTCATATGATCTGATCCAGTCTAATAAAAATATGGTCCAAATAGATTCTTTTTATGTCCTTTATGGAGCTTATAAAATATAAGGGATTATCTTGAATCCTAATAGTATAGGATAACTTGACTCGGGCTGATTTGCAATTCTCTGCTGCAGCCTGCTCCATGGATGCACTTCCAGAGTGAAATCCTTAATTTGTTTCCTTTTCTCATTCTTTGCGTTGTAAAGAAGGTTCTCATGTCTATCAGGTATCTCTTGACCATTTTTATTTGGAGTGTGTGATTTGCCACTTTTTTCTTTAATTATTGATACTGTTAGATGTTATGCATTTTTTTTTGTCAATAGTTTTTGTTTAACACACCTGTGCCTTTTGCTGTCAATTTTGTTTCGTATGTGTTATCTTATGCACAAACCATTTGAAATTTCTAGTAAATTCTAGGAACATCTGCTTCACTTGGGATGCTATCCTGTCTTCAAATTATAAAGTACTACTTTTCTTTCTTTAGTTACATTGCAGAATGACCTTACGTTCAAGATCTGATATGCTCCAGTCACATGTATAAAATTATATCGTGGGTCCCAAATATCTGAATTCTCAATGAAAATTGTAGGAGTAAATAAAACTAGAGCATTCAACAGTCTAATCTGGGGTGGTTTCATTTTCGTTATTTTTCCTTTCGTTTCTTGTTATTTTAGTCTTCAAAATATTGGTACTGCTGGCATTGTTTAGGATATAGATACAAATTCCTCAAACTTTAATAGTGTGTCTAGTTTTGTTTGTAGTGATGTTAATATGTTATTTTATCTCATTTTCTTCTTTTTCAATTTTTTGCAATTTGACTTACTGTCCACAGACCAGAAACTTACAAGCCAAGTTAAAGAAATTGTTGGGCGTATTAAAGGTCGGTTTGGATCATTGACTGCAGTACCAATTCATCACCTGGTACAAGTTTAATTTTCATGCTTTACTGCTGTATTCATGAATACTTTTATGTGAACCGTGTTGCCTGTCATTTTGGCAAACTAGTATTTATCTTTTTACCATCCTATTTTGAACATAATGTGCATGTATTAAAGATGATTGAAAACATATGTGCTGCTATTATTCAAGTAGAGTCAAATTTGAAACATATTGCATAAAATTAGAGTACAATGAAGTAAAATTGAGTGGAATAAGCAGTTCCTCATTTCTTATTTTGACATTAGAGTAGAGTTGAGAATTTATCATAATGGGGTTTTTTCAGCTCATTCTTCCCAGTTTTGCCTATAGTATCGGTACTGATAGAACAATACCGATAACCTTACCCATATTTTCCCTTTTTAAACCCGATTCTTAACCAAATTAACATTTGAGATTTAAATTGCAGAAGTAAGAAATGGATAAGAGTTGGATGGATTTCTCAAGGGTCAGCGAAGAATATCGAAATAGAGTCGAACATTTTCTAAATCTAGCTTTTGTGAATGCAAGCCAAGAGAATATGATTCTTTGCCCTTGTAAGAAGTGTGCTAACATTAATTGGCACATTCGTGAAGTTGTGTACGAGCATCTAGTTGTGTTTGGATTTGTTCGGGGGTATAGAAAATGGATATTTCATGAAGAATTTATATCTGATAGATTTGCTTCCACTAGTTATTCGACTTATCCTACTACTTCTCACCATCGAACTATTAGACAAGATGACATGGTAGGGATGTTGCGAGATGCATTTAATATGCACAATCGTCATCAATCTGTTACAGAAAATGATTGTGTTGAAGATGTTAATGATTTCACTGAGATTGGAAGAAGTGGATGTGATGAAGAGCCAAATGGAGATGCGGCAAAGTTTTACAAGTTGCTGAATGAAATGAATGAACAACTTTATGAGGAATCAAAATATTCAAAGTTATCTTTCTGCATTCGTCTTTTCCACTTAAAATGCTTGGGAGGGTAGACTGGTAACTCTTTTACGTAATTGTTGATGTTACTCGGAGAAGTGTTTCCTTTTGCAAAAATCCCTCAATCATGCAAAGATATGAAGAAAATGAAAAAAGATTTGGGTTTTGGATATGAAAAAATTCATAGTTGTCCGAATGATTGTATGTTGTATTGGGGTGATCGGAAAAATCAGGAGTCTTGTCATGTATGCGGAAAATCTCGATGGATGAATAGGGATGCAGAAAATGTGAGTGAGGATGAAGCTCAAGCACGATCAAGAAAGAAACCGGTAAAGATTCTGCGATATTTTCCTCTCATACCTAGGTTACAAAGATTGTTTATGTCCTCCAAGACTGCTGAGTCTATGAGGTGGCATCATGATGGCAGAACCGATGATGGATTATTACGACATCTTGTTGATTCTTTAGCTTCGTCATTTGACAACAAGTATCCAAGTTCTGTGAGAGATCCTCGAAATGTCAGGCTCGTTCTTGCAACTGATGGGTTTAATTCATTCAAAATCACGAGTACTTTGTATAGTACTTGGCCTGTTATACTTGTTCCATACAATTTGCATCCGTGGATTTGCATGAAACAATCATCTTTCATCTTATCCATGATAATCCCTGGTGAGAAAGGCCCTGGAAATGATAATGATATTTACATGAAGCTGCTAATTGCAGAGTTGAAAAGGTTGTGGGAAGGGGTCAAAACATATGACGTGTTGAAGAATGAGAACTTTAATTTACGTACGGCTTTATTATTGACAATTAATGATTTTTCTGCGTATGCAAATTTATCTGGTTGGAGTACCAAAGGTCGTTATGCTTGTCCTTGTTGTGTTGCACAAACATGTTCGAAGTGGTTGTTTAATGGAAAGTTCTCTTATATGGGACATCTTCGGTGGTTACCTGATAATCATAGATTTAGATGTCAAAAGAATATGTTTGATGGTGATGAAGAGTTTCGAAATGCTCCTGACCAAACAACCGGATCTGATATATTCTCCATGTTGAAAAATATCAATTTTACTTATGGAAAGATGAATCAAGCAACTAATACACGATCAAAGAAAATGACAAATCAGGTCAAAGAAAAGGACAAATAAGGTAGACTTGTGAAAAAAGAGGAGTATATTCTTCGAGTTGCCTTATTGGAAGAATCATATTTTGAGACATAATCCTGATGTAATGCATATCGAGGAGAATTTTTTTGAGAATATTATCGGACCATTCTAAATGATAGCAGAAAATCTAAAGATAATCTCAAGAGTAGACTTGACTTAGTCGACATGGGAATTCGACATGATCTTCATCCGCAGTTACATCCTACTGGAAAATATTTATTGCCGCCTTCTATTTTTTCTCTTTCGAAGAAAGAAAAAGAAGTGTTTTGCACGGTGTTGAAGGATATAAATGTCCTAGATGGGTATGCATCAAACATTTCTCGATGTGTTAGTGTTAAAGATTGAAGACTTTATTCTTTAAAGTCACATGGTTATCACATATTAATGCAAGATTTACTGTCAGTAGCTGTACGCGGTTGCATGTCGAGTAAGGTGACATCTTATATCATTGAACTTTCTAATATAATGAAAGCCATTTGTGGGTAAGTTCTGATGGTTGAAGAACTTGATAAATTACAAGATCGAGTCGCCTTGACTTTATGCAACTTGGAGAAGATATTTCCGCCTTCATTCTTCACAATTATGGTGCATCTGTTAATTCATCTTTCTCACGAAGCAATAGTTAGTGGACCAGTTTTCTATTGATGGATGTACCCTATAGAGAGGTGTTAATTGAATTATATGTTTCAAATGATTACTGATTATACCTTTTAATAGAATGTATTTACGTAGTATGTTGTTTTGAGTATAGGTTCTTGAGCAAGTTGAAGTCTTACTATCGTAATAAGCGTTATCCGGAATGATCAATTACTGAAGGGTATTTGGCAGAGGAATGTATGATATTTTGCTCTAGATATTTGGAAGATGTTGAAACAAGATGGAATAGACCAAATAGAAATGATGTGTTCAGTACTAATGACTTACTTCAACATTATTTGTTTGGAAGTTATGGCCAACCACTAGGGAAAGTTGAAATTGCACACTTAGATGACACATCTTGGGTACAAGCACACCGATATGTTATTTTCTATCACGATTCAATAGATCCCTTTCGCACGTAAGTCTTTCGGACCCAATACTAATGAAATCTCTTAATCTTTTATATTTATCATTTTTAACGACATGATATACTTTATAGTGAGTTTAAAGAAGTCTTGAGATCTTGTGCACGCTCCCGAAGATTACATCAGCGAGAAATACATAAGTTATTCACATAAACTTTTCATGATTGGTTAGGTCAGACGGTAAGCAACTAAATCATTCCACATAATTATAAATAATACATGTCTTAATTTTTATATCGGAATCAATGCAAATTAATTCACCATTCATGTGTAATAGGTTTGGAGTGGGAGAGAAGTTAGTGAAGATGTTAAATGGCTTTCTCAAGGTCCGAATAGAATAGTTAAAAGATATAATGTCTTCCTCATTAATGGGTTCAG